AATAATCTGTAAGAACCCTCTTACTTCTTTCTTCAACAGAAAGAATTCCACATCCAGTCAGCCATATCCTGACTGCTGTCATAAACAAGCTATGTTAAAATGGTCCCATCATAGATACTCTTTATAGAGAGGGAGAGGAAAAAAAAAATATAATGGGGCTGGTAAACTACAGCCTGTCAGTTGGAAGATCCTAATTCCTATTTCCGTAGATAAAGTTTTACTGGAACACAGCCATGCTCATCTGGTACATACCTATGGATGCTTCTATGCTATAACAGCAGAGCTGAATAAATGCAACAGACACTAGATGGTCTGCAAAGTCTAAGATATTTACTATTTGTCCCTTATAGAAAAAGTTTGCCCATCCTTGTTCTATACCTCAGCATTCATCACAGAGTGCCAAGCCCCAGATTATAGACTTTCAATCATAGCTGGTCACTAAGTGATTTCCCACATATTCATTCAACAAATATTTACTGGGATTTCTTATTTCTAACTAATCCTTGTTCATTTTCTCATCTGTAAAATGGCATATAATAGAATCTATTTCATAGAGCTATTGTTAAAAAAAAAAAAAGCCTTTAACTCAATGTCAGGCACAAAATTTGAAAAACTAGAGCTGCTGTCATTATCGTCTTCACTGTCATCATCACCACTACCACCACCACCACCATTATCCTTTCCTGATGTTGTAGGCCATTTCTCTGATGGCCATGATCTCCTAAGAAAGGAGAGAACTCTAGCATTTCTGAGGCTTTACTTGGTACTTAGGAAAGAGCTATATGTTGATAGCACTCAGACTACAACCACAAGAATAAAAGAAATGTTCCTCTGATATGAAATGGCAGTTGATCATTTAGACTTCTGATACCAGAAATAACAAGAACTCAGTATCTTTTCCAGAATTAATGAGGAAGACAAAAATGATTTGAATTTATAATACCTCTCTTGAGAACTTAAGAGATTGCTGGCAGCCCCCAGCAACATTAAAAGGCAACGTGACATTTAATGAGCCCATGGACGGATTCATAATGTGAAAGATTAAATGAGTCCACTGACTACCTTCCAAATCAACCATCTACCCAGATTTGGTTACAAACAAATTTTCTCAGTTTTTGTAAGAACTATGATTTTTTAAAAGTCCAACAGCCTGATATATGTATGTAGTTTTTTCTAATTCAATCCAACAAGTAAGTGTTGGATTGAAATGGGTGTCTACTTTTCTCTACTACAGTGTTTGTCATGTCTCTCTAACATGTACAGAAGGTGTCTGAGGAGATAAGTATGCTTTATGCTCAGATATGCAGATGACACCACCCTTATGGCAGAAAGTGAAGAACTAAAGAGCCTCTTGATAAAAGTGAAAGAGGAGAGTGAAAAAGTTGGCTTAAAGCTCAACATTCAGAAAACTAAGATCACGGCATCTGGTCCCATCATTTCATGGCAAATAGATGGGGAATCAGTGGAAACAGTGGCAGACTTTATTTTCTTGGGCTCCAAAATCACTGCAAATGGTGAATGTAGTCATGAAATTAAAAGACGCTTACTCCTCAGAAGTAAAGTTATGATCAACCTAGACAGCATATTAAAAAGCAGAGACATTACTTTGCCAACAAAGGTCCATCTAGTCAAGGCTATGGTTTTTCCAGTAGTCATGTATGGATGTGAGAGCTGGACTATAAGAAAGCTGAGCACCGAAGAATTGATGCTTTTGAATTGTGGTGCTGGAGAAGACTCTTGAGAATCCCTTGGACTGCAAGGAGATTGACCCAGTCCATCCTAAAGGAAATCAGTCCTGAATATTCACTGGAAGGACTGATGTTGAAGCTGAAACTCCAATTATACTTTGGCTTTATGCTGATGTGAAGAACTGACTCATTTGAAAAGACCGTGATGATGGGAAAGTTTGAAGGCGGGAGGAGAAGGGGACAACAGAGGATGAGATGATTGGATGGCATCACTGACTCAATGGACATGAGTTTGAGTAAACTCTGAGAGCTGGTGATGGACAGGGAGGCCTGGTGTGCTGTAGTCCATGGGGTCGCAAAGAGTCAGACAAGACTGAGCAACTGAACTAAACTGAACTGATGCTCTTTTTGGGATCCTTCAAAATTCTGGATAATAGAATCCTAAATGATTCAGTGGGGGAGTAAAAGATTTAAAACCAAGTGCTGGATTTCCCTGGCGGTCTAAGTGGTTAAGACTCTGTGTTTCCAAAGCAGGGGGCAGGGATTCAATTCCCAGTCAGGGAACTAAGATCCTGCATGGTGTGCCCCTCCCCCAAATCCTTAAATTACTTTACCAAGAATCCTTTGTATCCCTGAATGCATCTTTTGACCATATGAGACATTAATTATATTGAATTATCTTTCTCACTTATTTCCATTAAATTCTTAATTTCAATTATTTTCATTTTCATCTAGAGTACTGGATATCTTAAATTTTTCCTCTATATATAAAATTTGATTTCAGTTGTGTCAGTTCTGTTCTTTGCAATTTTAAAATTAATTAATTAATTCTGTAGTTATTTGGTCCTCAACTTATTTTCTTGTTTCTGTAACATTTTCTTGTATCTCATTTTGTTTTCATAATACCATCTCATCACTGAACTCTTATTTATTAAATTCACAGTCCATTGAGGTGTTCAGCAGTTGCAGAATTATATATTTGTAAGGAAATTCTTTGTATTCACTGAGTTGTTTTTCTCAGGACAAGTTTTTGCAGTATATTTTTCTTGCTTTAATTTTTGCTATACCTTTGCATAGTTGGATACATTGATTCTCTTGGTCTTATTCATGCTTTTTTTAAAAAATAGTTTTATTTATTTTTAGCTATGCTGGGTCTTCCTTGCTGCACAGGCTTTTCTCTAGTTGCAGTGCATGAGTTTCTCATTGTGGTCACTTCTCTTGTTGCAGAGCATGGGCTCCAGAGTGCACAGGCTTCAGTAGTTGTGGCTAGTGGGCTCAGCAGTTGCAGCTCTCAGGCTCTAGAGCACAGGCTCAGTTGTGGGGTGCATGACTCAGTTGCTCGGCAGCATGTGGGATCTTCCTGGATCAGGGATGGAACCCATGTTCTCTGCACTGGTAGGCAGATTCTTTACCACTGAGCCACCAGGGAAGTCCCTCTGCCACTTTTTAAATTATTTCTCACACTTGATTAGAAACAAGTAGTAGGAAGTTCTGTGATATAATCTGAAGTAGCCACTTTAATCCACAAGTGTTTTTCTCAAGAGCTGTTTATTTATAGGTGATGTCTACTATGTTTTGGTCACCTACTATGGAACAGGCATTATGCTAACTGTTTTACATACATTTATTGGAAGGACTGATGCTGAAGCTGAAGCTCCAATACTTTGGCCATCTAATGCAAAGAGCTGACTCGTTGGAAAAGACCCTGATGCTGGGAAAGACTGAAGGCAGGAGAAGGGGACAACAGAGGGAGAGATGGTTGGATGGCACCACTGATTCAATGGACGTGAGTTTGAGCAAACTCCGAGAGATGGTGAAGGATAGGGAAACCTGGTGTGCTGCAGTTCATGGGGTCGCAAAGAGTTGGACATGACTGAACGACTGAACAACAACAAATTTCCCATAGCAGCCCTATTGTTATTAAACTCATTTTTACAGATGAGACAACCAAAGCTCCAATATAGAACTCTTATCCATAGGAGTAACTGGGCCAATTGAAACTAGAGTTTAACTTCATTTTCATTAAAATATATACTCTAAAATATGTCTTCTACCTCTACTGTGCTGGAGAGCAAAACAAACAAGCAGGAAAAAACGCACCAACCAGTGGAAAAAACATACCAACCAGTAAGACATTTTTCTTTCCCAATTTTCACTCTCACATTCATTTCCTCCAGGCTCCAAACATTTATTAAGCATTCCTATGTAGTGGCATCAGGTAGTGATGCCCACTGGGGATAGTGGCTTCTGAAGTCCAAGCTGAGGAAGTAGTCAATAAAATGCTGATTAAAGAAAATGTGACTATGTGGCTCCCTATGTGGAGCCATCAGGATGACTACTATCAAAAATAAAACAAAATAAAACAGAAAATAACGCATGTTAATGAGAATATAGAGCAATTAGAACCCTTGTGCATGGCTGGTGGGATTGTAAAATGGAAAACAGTATGGATACTCCTCAATAAATAAAAAATAGGAACTATCAATCCAGCAATCTCACCTCTGGTATATATGCAGAAGAATTCAAAGCAGGATCTCAAAGGGATATTTATACATCCATGTTCACTGCAGCATTATTCACAAAAGCCAAGAGGTGGAAGCAACCCAAATGTCCACTGATTGATTAACAGACAGAGAAAATGTGGTGTATATATACAATGGAATTTATGAAGCCTTGAAAAGGAAAAAAAATTCTGACACATGCTACAATGTGAATAAACCTAGAGGACATTATACTAATTAAGTGAAAGAAGCAGTGACAAATACAAATAGTATATGATTCCACTTATAAATGGTACTTAAAGTAGTCAAATTCAGAAAAACAGAAAGTCAAATGGTGGTTACCGGGGGCTGGGGAGAGGAGATAAAGGAGAGTTGTGAGTTTCAGGTTTGCAAGATGAAAAAGTTTCAGAAATCTGCTTCACAACAATGTCAATACACTTAATGCTACTGAACTGTACCCTTAAATATGGTTAAAGTGATGAATTTTATGTTGTGTGTTTACCACAGTTGAAAAAAAAAACAGGAAGTTCTATAACACTGTTGGAAAGATAGTTCTGTTTCCTGTTCTCTCCACAGCCACTTGCCCTGCTCTAAAGCAGGATTTGATTCTACCTTGGCAAGAAAAGACATAGGGAAAAGCTTGTGTGGTGAAGAAAAGCCTCTATCCTACCTCATGGGAAAACATTCACATACTTTTTGTCAGTTTCACACAGATTAATCTAGTTTTCATTTCGTCTTTCCCATCCACTGGGTGGTTTTATTTTGTTTTAAGACAACGAGAACTGCCAAAAAGGAAAACCCCTGGGCTTACTTCTGCAGGATGGATCCCTTAATGATCAGCTCTTCATCCAAGTCTGCTTCATTAGCCATGAAGAGTAGCCTCTTGCCTGTGCTGTCCACTCCAACGAAGTCACGCTGCTCCACTGAATCACACACAAAAAGGAAAATCAAACGAAGCCATTGGCCATGCCTGTGTGACTAAGTCAGGGGACAGGGCACCTGCTCACAATGCTTTTGGAACCAAATACAGGAGTGAGTATTATTTAACACGTACTCATCACAGTGTTTAAAACATGGGCAGTCAGAATTTTTTTGTATTGCTCTAACAGATATAATTAGGTTAGCTGGTGAACTTGAATAAAGTCTGCAGACTAAAGTATTGTGCCAATGTAATTTCCTATATTAGGAGATTTGTCCTTTTTGGGTGAGTATCGGGGAAAGACACACATTGATGTGTTAAAGGCAAAGGAAATCATATCTGCAATTTATTCTCATAAATAATTCAGAAAAATAATGATTATATAATATATTGCATATACATCAAATATATTGAATACATAAGAGGGAAAGAGGGAGAATACTAGAGCAAATGGTAACATTTGGGGAATCTGGGTAAAGGATATATGCAATCTCTGTACTACCCCTATAACCTGTAAATGTGAAATTATATAAAAAAATGAAAAGTTAACAAGGTGATGGATATTTTAATTAGTTTGTGGTAATCATTTATAATGTTTACATATATCAAAACATTATGCTGCTTATCTTATATATAAATTTTTGTTAAAAATAATAAGTAAATATCAAAAATGAAAAGTTAAAGAAACAGAGGGGCAATCAAGATATTGCTTAGCCAAATTAAGTGGATGAATCTCAAGTTCACTGCATGAAACAGAAGGAAAGTACAACTGCTTCTCTGCAAATAATAACCTAGGTCTGCTCACTGTGTAAATGGGAATAGTGTTTAAGGACATCCACATTTAGCCAACAGTAACTATGTGTATTACGCACTAGATTCTATGCTGTGGATGGGAGCAATGAAAGAAAATAAGGCACATATTTACTAGATGAGGAGAGTTCTCTGGCAGACAGTGATCTTATAGGCTGCCATATTATTGCTGTCTTCTGTGTCATATTTCTTTCCCCTAACAAGATTACAAATTCTAAAAAGGCAGATTTATGATTCCTTTAGATCTTCTACAACATCTAGTACAATGTTGAACACTTAATAAAATCTGCCAGTAACATCCCTACAGTATCTGTTTATAGCTTACAAAAGCATTTTCACATAGAGACAGCATAGTGTAATGATTAAGAAGAGAGCCTCTGAAGTTAGACTACTTGGGTATGAATTCCACATACCAGCTGTATATCTTTGAGCAAAATACCAAACTTCTATTCCTCAATTTCATCTGTAAGAGGGAAATAATAGTCCCGACACCTACCTCACAGGATTGTTAGGAGAACTAAATGAATTAATAATATCTGTAAAGCTGTATTTAGTGCTTTTAACTAAAACATCAAATAAAATGTTTAAGTTTTAAAAATTAAACAAAGACACACTCTCATTTGATCTTCACAACAATCAAATAAAGCAATGATTTAATGCCTCTTTGAAAGAGAAAAACTAAAAGTTGAGTTCTAGGAAAAACGGCATCTCTAAAGATGATCTAAAGATGTCTACCTCCTATTGACAGACAATGGCCACTATATAACCTAGTATGCTTCCCTGTTGGCTGCAGCTGCCTATACCTAAAACCAAATGTTTCACTCAAGTGTATAATGTGTTCAGTTCAGGTTCTTGAAAGCATTCATTCTTTCAAATGTTTTTTTGTTAGCTCACATGCAGTGTTTTAATCTGAACAGGGAGAAACTGTCATAAAAAATTACACTTTTTTTTGTTACCAAGATAAGTGAACTCCAAAGAAGGAAGGATAAATAATGCCAGTATGTTGCTACCAAAAGTCTACAAACAGTAAATGCTGGAAAGGGTGTGGAGAAAAGGAAACCCTCTTACACTGTTGGTGGGAAAGCAAACTAGTACAGCCACTGTGGAGAATAGTGTGGAGGTTCCTTAAAAAACTGGAAATAGAACTGCCATAAGACCCAGCAATCCCACTGTTGGGAATACACACTGACAAAACCAGAACTGAAAGAGACATGTGTACCCCAATATTCATCACAGCACTGTTTATGATAGCTAGGACATCCTACATGCAACCTAGATGTCCACTGGCAGATGAATGGATAAGAAAGCTGTGGTACATATACACAATAGAATATTACTCAGCTATTAAAAAGAACATATTTGAGTCAGTTCTAATGAGGTAGATGAAACTGGAGCCTATTATACAGAGTGAAGTAAGTAGAAAGAAAAACACCAATACAGTATATTAACACATATATATGGAATTTAGAAAGATGGTAATGATGATCCTATATGCAAGACAGCAAAAGAGACACAAATATAAAGAACAGACTTTTGGACTCTGTGGGAGAAGGCGAGGTTGGGATGATTTGAGAGAATAGCATTGAAACATGTATATTACCATATGTGAAATAGATGACCAGTCCAAGTGCAATGCATGAAACAGGATACTCAAAGCTGGTGCACTGGGACAGCCCAGAGAGATGGGATGGGGAGGGAGGTGGAGGGGTGGGCTTGGGGATGGGTGGACACGTACACCTGTGGCTGATTCATGTCAACATATGGCAAAAACCACCACAATATGGTAAAGCAGTTAGCCTCCAAGTAAAATAAATAAATAAATTTTTAAAATTTAAAAAAAAAGAATGCCAATATGAAATTTACAGAATTTCAACTGAAGCTGTATTTTACAAAGAATTTCAAATATCACAAAGCAACTGTGACATATATCAATTCATCCATTACATGAAAACTTGAGAATATAACAAAGTCTGCAAAGGTCTGATTACAAGCCAACATTTTAAAAAGAAATAACACAGAGATGTTATTTTTGGATATATTTGGAGTGCTTACCCTATCCAACTCCTCTGGCCCACAGAAACCCTGAATTACTCAATGTCCTGGGAGCAATAATTTCCAACAAATCAATTTTTCAGCTATGTTGCACTTCAGTCACATTTCCCTCACTCTCAAGCCCCACTCCTTGTATTGGCTTCTTTGTAGCTACCATAGTAACTAGGACCTCAGAATATGATACAAATTATAGAAACTTGGACAGGTTTCTTTCTACTCTGCATTAACAAAGTGAATTCCACTTGGGAAGCAGAGCAAAAACATTAGATTGCCCATCCTAAGAGAAAGTTTACACAAATAAGTTTAAAAAGGCAGTTAAACTATGAATTCCCATCTTAAAAAATTCTGTCATGACCAACTATCCATATACTTTTCCAGTTGTTTTTTTCTTCTCTGTTTCCTCTTTAGTCATTTACTTATCCATTCATTCATTCAACTAAGAAATATATTTGTGCACCAGCCCTGTGACAGGCCTTATGTTTGGGGTGGGGAATTTCATCTCATTTTATGAAGCCAGTATGATTCTGATGCCAAAACAAAAGATATGAGAAAGGAAGATTACAGGCAAATTCACTCATTATATAAGAATCCTGAATAAAATATTAGCAAATAAAAATTAATAGTGTATATTATAGATTTAAAAGGGTTACAGATTTGTTGTAGCTCTTCCCATCAAGAAATAGAGCTTAGAATGTAAAATGGTAGCCACTGTGGAAAACAGCATGGTTGCTCCTTAAAAAATTAAAAATAGAATTACAATATGATCCAGTAATTCCACTTCTGGGTATATACCCAAAGGAATGAAAGCAAGGTCTTGAAGAGATATTTGTATACCCATGTTCATAGCAGCATTACTCAAAATAGTTAAAATGTAGAAGCAACCCAAATGTCCATCTATGAACTAAACAGATAAGCAAAATGTGGTATATACACATAAGAGAATATTATTCAACTTAAAAAGGAAGGAAATCCTAAAATATGCTACCACACAGATACACTTTGAGGACACTGTACTAAGTGAAAAAAAGACAGTGACAAAAAGACAAATACTATATAAGTCTACTTATATATGGTACTTAAATTAAGGTAGCCAAAATCATACAGAGAGAAAGCAGATGGCATTTGCCAGGGGCTAGGAGGAGGGAGAAAATGGGGCTACTTCTCTCATAGCCATATTTAATGGCTATGAAGTTTCAGTTTTATAAGATTGAAAAGAGTTATGGAGAAGGGTAGAGGCGATGGTGCTCCACATTATAAACATATTTAATGCCACTAAACTAAATTTTATGTTACATGTTTTTTACCACAACAAAAAAGTGTGAGAAAAAAAAAGTGCTGACCAGAAGGAAAACAAAAAAAAGTAAGGTTAGTTTCCCCATCCTTTGTATCTAGGTTGGTCTAGTGACTAACTTTGACTAACAAGAGTTTGGAGGAAGTGACACAATGTAAGTTCTGATTTTTGGCCTCAAGAGATTGTGTAGCTTCTGTTATTTTCTTAGAACCTGCTGCTGCTGCCATGTGAGCAAGCCTGGGCTAGCCTCCTATGTAAGAGACTAAATGAAAAAAGAAAGGGACTGCCCTGGTGGTCCAGTGGCTAAGACTTCACACTCCCAATGCAGGGGGCCTGGGTTCAATCCCTGGTCAGGAAGTTAAATCCCATATGCTGCAACTATGAGTTCCCATGCCACAACTAAGACTTGACACAACTAGATAAATAAATAAATTTTTTTTTTTCTTAAAAGAAAGAAACTTGGCTGTCCCAGCTAAAGCCCTAGACATATTAGTGGGTTCAGCTTTGGTAGGCAGGCTCAAAGAATTATAACAGGTTCCTAGCATTCACACCCTTCTGTATCCTCTCCCACTGAGTGTGGGCTGGCCTAGCTACTTGCTTCTATCCAGGAAGGTGAAAAAGTAATGAGATATTATATTTGTGATTAGGTTACATAAATTCATAACTTATGCTTTGCTAAAAGATTCTCACCTTTTGTCCTTGGAGAAAAGGTCCATTTAACAAATGGAGCAAGGAAGAAGGGACATCTACATGGGGAAAAAAAAAGCCAACCTCATACCATATACAAAAGACAAATCTGTCTGGATCAAGGAATTATGTGTCAAGCATAAAACTTAGAAATCCTTAATAGA